GCACCTCGCTCCCGCCGGCCCGCACCCCGCACCCCGCATCCCCGCGCCCGCGCGACTCACAAGCGCAAGGACTCCACCAGCCAGTCCTCCGCGGGATCCATGACAACGGCCGCTTCCGGTACCCCACTTCCGCCTCCGAACCGTCCTGGGCGGGAGCTGCCTTCTCGCGAGAAGTGGGCGTGGCATCACACCGGGGGCGGGGCCTAGAGTTGCCCGAGCGCCGCCGCGCCCCCGCCGTACCCGCGCCCCGCTAGCTTAGGGGTTTCTCCCGGCAAAAGGTCCCGGAAAATGCGGCGGGGTCAGGGGTCCCCAGGCTGTCAGCCCCGGGCGGCGCCTGAGGGGCCGGGTTCTTGCAGATCCGAGGGCCAAGGCCGGATAGGACACGGGACACCCGGCCAAATTCAAATTTTCGGTGAACGACGAGAGGTTTTTCTTGTATGTCCGCGCAATGCCAGGCCATCGCATCCAGGCCGTCTCATCCCGAAAAGAGAAAAAGGCCGTGTATCTGAAATTCCGATTTAATCGTGTGTCCTGTACTTTTGCTAACTGGGGATTCTACCGAAAGCCGGAGGAGAGGGCGCGCAGCGGGGTCTGGCTCACAGCTGGGCGGGGGCCCCGAGGCCGGCGTGAGGGAGGAAGGAAGGAACGGGGTGAGCCAAGCCCCCGCCGTGCGGGCTGCTCCGCTCCAAGCGCGAGCCTGGCCGGGCCAGCAGGGGGCGACCGAGTGCGCCCCGTGGCTGCAGGGGCCTGGCGCACAGCGGGCGCTGAGGACCCGCTCGCCGAATGAATGAGCTCAGGGGCGGGAGCCCGAGTCAGTGCCAGGCGGGTGCCGCCGCGTGTTCTGGGCTTCCTGGAGCCAGCCGCATCTGCAGCCCCCCTTCCCTCCCATCCCCCCAAACGTGCTGGAAGGAGAGGACCACACATTCTGTGTAAAGAGCAGGGTTTTATTCACAACTTCAGCAGGAACATAACTTGTGTCTGCATTGGCGACATGCCTGGTGGCCCGACCAGAAATCACAGTAATGGAGCAACAGAGATTCCAGCCCAGGATTTACATCCAAATGGGGCCACCGCCAGGGTCCCATTCAGCATCTTTCCCGGGTGGGCACAGTCTGAGCCTTGGCGCTGTGTCCTCACTAACGGCGTCACTCCTGCAGCATTTGCACCAGCGGCCTCCTGTACTGAAGGGGAGCAGAGGAGCTGGCCTGGGCGGAGGGGCCAATAATGGGACCCTGCCATGCCTAAGTGTCAGACATCCCGAGTTAGACAGGGACGGGCTCTCGCCTGAGGCAGGCCCATCACACCCTGGTCGGGCAGGCACACCCTACACCCAATGCTGGACCCAGGGGCAGCCCCGGCTGAGCCTCTCCTGGGCCTGGGGGGCTGGCTCACCTGGGTGTGAGGTGCCGGGCCTCGGGGGCTCACGCCCAGAGCTTTCTTCAGCAGGAGGATCCTGAGCAGATCATGACTCAGCTGCAGTCTCTGGTCCCCCAGGTGGATGTGGGGAGCTGTCCCCTGTAGGGATGGGCTAGGGGGCTCCAGACTCTTCTTGCCCATGAAGTGCCCTAGAAAGGAGGTGCCGAGGCACAAGGAAGTCAGAGAGTGGGGGTCCCATGGCAGTGGGAAAGCCCCCGTCCCTCCCATCCCTCGGTCTCACGGCGGGAACATAGGCGCCTTCCTCCTCACCAAGGAGCCATAAAGACCCCTGCTGGTGGCAAGGCCTGTATCTCAACTTTTCCTGAACCGGTGGAGAGGCTGGCACAGCCAGGGGGAGGCGGGATGGGCCAGGCCGGGAGAAGCTCGGCCAGGTGTGCAGGAAGGAGCCGAGAAAGAAGAGGCCAGTGGGAGGAGGAGGTGCGGGGGAGACACGCGGGGCTGGGCGAGGCAGGAGTCTTGCTCCGGGGAAGGGGCGCCGGCTGGCAGGCAGGTCAGGGTGGGGCGCGGCTGTGCCTGAGCCCCTGAGTGATCTTAGCAGCTGCCTGCCTGCCGGGGCCTCGGGCTCCCTGCTGCCGGAGCAGCTGGGCTCCAGGGCCCAGCCCAGGCGCCGACGGCTGAGGGGCGGCCGGAGGGGAGAAGGGGGTGAGCGCTCGGTGGTGGCACGCGCTTGCCCGGGTCCCAGACTTACCGGTGGCCCAGAGGTTGCCCCGCGGGTGCACCCGGATTCTGCTGCCCCGCAGGCGCGGCTGCGGGAGATCCCAGCTGAGGGCGGCGCCGGCCGCGAGCAGGGCGAGG